TTCTTCTAGACCCCATATTCTCTTTTTCAGGGTCACTTGTTTCTTGTGACCCCTTCCAGAAATTCTCTGTGCCTATTTGTGTGTGCGTGTATGTGCGTGTGTATGCAATCTTTTTGTTTTTTTCTTCCACAAAACAGTTGCTAAATAAAGACTAGAACACACATCTCCTGATGCCTACGCCAGTATTTTTTTCCTGATAAAAAACTAGGTAAGTAAAGTAGAACTAGATGGAAGAGAGACTTAAATGTTTACATTTTTAGGCTGATATTGTTTTAGGCTGACAAAAGTATCACTGACATTGATCTTAAGCAATTAGGAATAAAACACAATTTGATATAATTGAATTTTGTTTTAGTTTTAGAAGTGCTGGGGCTTACATTCCACTTTCTGCTCTGTCATTTTCCTTATTTAAATATCTTTAGGTATCAACCTGGACAAAGCAATATCAAGCTGCAGCTCATCAGCACATCCCTGCCATGGAACAGCTATCTGAGTGGCTAATGAAAAACTTGCCAGCTAATGACAATGAAGAGAATTTGATTCACGGAGATTTCAAGCTAGATAACATAGTTTTCCACCCTAAAGAGGTACCGTAAGCCATGTTTACAATAAATTGGGTAGATCCGATTTGAGACACAGGTACTAAGAAGATGTTCCTCCCAGAGCTTTGAAGGAGCCCAACCCATCTCCATTCTTTCCCTACAGCTCAGGACTGTCTTCACCACTCACAACTTTTAGAAATGAGTCCGGCAGATTTTCTAGCATGGGTAGCTGCCTACCTTTAAAGCTGGTTCTAATCCTAAGTGGTATCTGATTTACTGCTTAAGGACTTGGGAATTTTACTTGCATGTTGCTGTTTTCTCCAAAGAAATTTTTTATCTGCTACTTAAAATATATAGCTTACCTATGTTCTTGCTCTTTCTTCTGGTTCATTTACATCTCTTTGTTTTTTCTTGTCCTGTGTCATAAAGAATTTTTAATTTATTATAAGCTCAGAGAAGACAATTCCAAAAGCCTCTTTTGAGGCTCCAAAAGAATTACATTAGATTAATGTAACCTTGCTCTGTGTAAATGTACACAGTGTTCTCTTTATAAAGAGTACAAACAAATAAAAGCTGTAACCCTCCACTAAGCACAGACAGTGAGGTCTAGGATTAGAGTATAGGCGGAATGAGGAAACTACTTCAGTTCTCTCATTAACTGTATGCCTTTGGGCAAGCTACTTGGCACTTAGTATTCCTACATAAATGAGAAAGATTTCCAGTTCCCTGAATTCTGCTTCTTAGAGGAGGATTTTCTAGGTCCATTAATTTTCTCAGGATGCTAAGATGTTTTAGGGCAGGAAGAGCTATTCTATGTCTATGTGTTAAGCTTCTGGATTTCATGTTTTTTCCCTATAGGAAAAGGCCAGGGGGGAAATACCATTATAAATTACATTGTTGTCGTAATTCGAGGTAGTATAAATCAATTGAAAGTCCAAAAATAATATAAAGATATTTGAGCACATTTATCAGCAAGACAGAAAATTTGTCATGGAAAAGTCAATTTGGATAGTAAAATTAAATATATGTAATTATACGTGTGTGCGTGTATCTGTAACCCTTTGTTAATGGCACTGATGAATTCGGATTTGTAACTTTGTTAATTATGTACCTTTCGATTGGAAAAATTGAATAATGCTTATTTATAACCTGGAAAAATTATAAAAGTGTATACCTCAAAACATAGCAGGATCTGGCCTATATTTGATCTATATCATTTGATTCATTAATATTTTAGATGCCTACCTTTGAATAAGTCTGTTCTATATCCATAGTACTTTTCTATTCTTAAGCAAACAAGGAAAAATCCAGACCTAGATCTCCTAATGGATTATATGTTGTTTACCGAGATGTTTAATTTGTAGGATTAGCCATAATATGCTGAAAGTAATGGTAAACTCCAGTAAGTACCAAACTATTTTCCCATTTATATTAATCTCATATTTTAAAAATATTTCTTACAGGATTAAAATTGTTAAACAGGTATCATTTTCCTTCAGACAAGCAGAATATTCAATAGTTTGGGAGAGACATTTTTAAAAAAAGAAACAATAGATAAAGGCACAGCTTTTAGTTATTCAGCTGTGATAACTAATTTGTTAACATTTATAATTATCTTTTAATGTTTTAGGGCCATATAGTAGTTAGTTAAATGTTTTCTACTTTATACCCAATAATCTTATTATTAGTTAAATCAAATTTAATCTATTTGTGCCTCCTATAAATATTGTAACTAACTGTTCACAGAAAGTAACATGTGGTTGGCAGAATTCAAGTCAACTATCATTTATTCATTACAATTATGTACTCTGATACATGGGATTGGAAAGGAAATACACCTCCTAATGAGCTCAAAATACAGATAGAGGGAAAAGGTATCAGGTAACAGCAATTAAACAATATATACCCAGGTGCTGATGTATATCATACAAAGTGAACTTCAAGAGCAGAGAAAGAAGAACAGATATCCGCTGTGGACTGGCACTAAGAGCTACCAAACTTTAAAGTTTAATTTTAGTTAATAGTATATATTTTCTACCTCTTTTAAAAAATTTTTATCAGGTAACAGCAATTAAACAATATATACCCAGGTGCTGATGTATATCATACAAAGTGAACTTCAAGAGCAGAGAAAGAAGAACAGATATCCGTTGTGGACTGGCACTAAGAGCTACCAAACTTTAAAGTTTAATTTTAGTTAATAGTATATATTTTCTACCTCTTTTAAAAAATTTTTACAAGCAAATAGGAAATGTGTGTGTGTGTGTGTGTGTTTCATAAGGTCACTCAACAAATTGCAGCCAGCCTCTGGGTTATAACAAGTTGAATATATGTATTTATGTGCTTACCTGTATATATGCCTAGGGATATGCTTGAAAGCTTTTTTTTCTTTGAGGTTAAAGATTATGTCTTTATTTTTTCTTTGTCTCTAGAGTCTATATAGTAGATGCTCAGTAAATGAGAGCCTACTAGACTAGTGACTGTATCTTATTCATCTTTAGATAGCAGGTGTTTACATGATTCTCAATGAATCTATGTTGAAGGGATTGATTTTAGTTAATTATTCACTTAGTAATTATTTTCATCTCAAACATTATGCTTAATTTTCATTCCCTAGCAGTGTGACCTTAAAGAAAATTACTTAACTGCTCTCTGTGCCTCAGTTTTTATTTTAACTTTTTCTTTTCTTTTCTTTTTTTTTGAGACAGGGTCCCACTCTGTTGCCTGGGCTAGAGTACAGTGGTGCCATCATAGCTCACTGCACCCTCCAGCTCCTGGGCTCAAACAATCCTCCTGCCTTAGCCTCCTGAGTAGCTGTGACTATAGGTGTGCACCACCATGCCAGCTAATTTTTTAAATTTCTGGTGGAAACGAGAAATGAGAATTATGTTGCCCAGGCTGATCTCAAACTCCTGGGCTCAGGTGATCCCCTCGCTTCAGCCTCCCAAAGTGCTAGGATTACAGGTGTGACCTACCTTACCTGGCCTAACTTTTTCTTTTGAAATAATTACAGACTCAGAAGAAATTGTAAATATAGTACAGTACAGAGAACTCCTGTGTACCCATCATCCAGATTCCCCAAAATGGATCTTATGCAACTGTAGTATATCATCATAGCCAGGAAATTGACATTGTATGCCTTTTGAATTGAAAACAAATCCCAAAATTTCAGAGTTGCTGGCATCTAAAATGAAGTAGTCAATATGGAGCAATTAGCTGGTATTTGGCACACAGCTCAACTTATTTTAATTATCCACTCTTTTCCATTCTTTTTCCCTTTGTTTTTCTATTCTACTTTTCTAAAACTGCCTATCAAACTCTATTCTTCAGAAAAAATATTAAGGTATAAGTAAATCTTTCATAATATGTACTAAAACTTAAACAGTTGTTGTAGGGAATGGAATTGTAGGAGACTTACAACAGTACATTCTGTAATGTTTAAGGTTTGAGGATTTGGGGGTTTTGTTTTTTAAAACAACAACATGTTTTATTTTTATCATCAGAAAACACAACAATTGAGAAAGAAACAAAAACAATTTTAAATGACAAACCTTCCAGGAATGTGTGGAGTAAGCCAGTAAAGCATTACTAAAAGTGGTATGGCACAACAAAAGCATGTATTACTCAGTTTCACAATCCCTGTTTATTTCCAGTTACTTATTTGAAAAGCATTTGAAGCATGTTTGAGCGAGTATTTCAGTAGTATAACATGCTCACTGCAATGTTTAAAAGAAATCCAGTTTTCGTGGAAAATGCTGATTTTTCAAATATAAATCTTACTGGTGGAGAAATGTTTTAAGATTTTGGAGTTTAATGAAAAAGTCTGCGTATTGTCATTTGAACTTAAAAAACAAATATATTTAATTAGAAACATCCACTGGAATGGATCCACTTCAGTAATCTAGAAATTGATTTTTTTTGCATTATACCTCCCCTGTGATGCTGCAAATTTTGTGGTTCTTACTTTAGAATCCATGAGCCCTTATGACTTCATCTGACTTTTTATCCTTCACAGCCACATGGTCGTGATCTGTCATTTCAAAAACTACCTTCTTTAGTATCAATTTAATTAACAATTTTTTTGACTCTGGATGTGTGCAAGCGATATATGAATTTTGAAGTTCCCTGACCTTAGGATACTTATTATTCCATAATCTTCTCACTCCTTGACTTTACACAATTTCCAGCCCTAAACTTGCTGCATATTTTTGCTGCAGAATAAAGTCATGATATCAGGTGAACTGGGTCTGGGACACATTTATGTTGTGTAATTTCATCTAGGCCGTGACTTCCTCTCTTAGTAAAACCTGTAACCTGTGACTTTTTTTTTTTTAAATGGCTTTTTTTTCAAATGGCTTCTCAAACTGTCAAGTTTCTTGTCCCATCTAGACTTCCACTCTCAGCATATGGTCTTGCCTTCTACTTGACTCATTTTTGTCCTTTTAGTCACTTTCCAGTACAGGCTACTTTCTAGAGATTACATGGTCCTTGAAGTTCTCTTGATATCGTCGAAGACATTTCAGCCCTCTATACAATATCCCCTTCATGCAGATTAATGGGTGATATTTTTCTTCAGCCTCATTGCCAAGAAAAGTTGTCCCTCTTAAGCAGCTGGTTTGTTTTTAATCTATATACACTCTGAAGACTGTGATTAATCATGCTTCACACTTTATTTTGTCTGCTAAAACACTCAGAGCAAATTTTACTACCCACACTAACAATTACATAGGACCTATGACATTCAATTTTATGTAATAACCTTGTTCTTAGCTTCATCATATTATTAAAAATTCTATTTTTTTCCCTACCTACTTTATCTGCTATTTGTCCTGTTGGATTGCATATGTTTCTTTTGTTTTGAATGGTAATACACATAAATAGAATTCAGTAGTGTAAAAAGCATGCATAGAAAAATAAACCTCTCTCTATAGAAGATAATCAACAAAACTAAAAGCTTTCAATTGTGCTGAGGTTTCAGAAAAACTGTTAGAAATCATTTTATTAATAAGTTCTTTAGCTGAGCATGGTAGCTGAAACCTGTAATCCTAGCACTTTGGGAGGCGGTGGCAGGAGGATTGCTTGAGGCCAGGAGTTCAAGACCAACCTAAGCAACATACTGAGACCCCATCTCTACAAAAAATAGAAAAGTTAGCTGGGTATGATGGCATGCACCTGTAGTCCCAGCTACTCAGAAGGCTGAGGCAGGAGAATCGCTTGAGCCCAGGAGTTTGAGGTTGTAGTGACCTATGATAAGGCTACTGCATTCTAGTCTGGTGACAGACCAAGACTCTGTCTCCTAAAAAAAAAAAAGTTCTTTAGCAGTAGCAAGGTGAACTGGTAAATGTTTATCTCAACCACTAGGCGTTATATTGAGCTTTTTATAGCTCTGAACACAAACAGTTGTAAACAGAACTCTAATAAACTATTACTAATTAACTTATACTAATTGACACAATTTGACTAGCCATCAACTTTTCTCACTGGCCATTGTTATATAGCTTTGTGTAATTAAAAATGTTTCAAATATCTTGAAACAACTCCAGAGAAGTTTCCTAACTTTCATGAAAAAAACAATAATAAACATTTCTAGCATCAGGAAGGGTCTCATATTCTTTTCTTAGGATGTTGAAAGCATAGATGACAAATAGAATGGTATAAGAGAAATGTATCTTTTTTATATAGTTTAACAAATCTACCTTGTGTAGTAATTTATAATATAATATAACCACAGCAATAAAAGGTCTTATAAAGTCAAGTCATGGAGAAGGGAGTGATCAATTTTTCCCACAGTAATAATAGCAAATTTTGGTTATCTACTATATGCCAGGCTTTGTACATATTCATCAAATACATACATATTGGCCACCTACTATGTGCTAGAAACTGGTAAACAAAACATACATGCTACTTGACCTCATTTAGTCTTCACAGTAACTCTCTGTAAGAGGTATATATTATAGCTGAGAAAATTCAAGATCAGAGAGGTTAACTAACTTGTTCAGAGTTACACAGCCAGTGAATGGTAGAGCTAGGATTTTAATATTTGTCTGTCTGATTCCAAATCCCACATTTTCCCACAAAGCTACAGTAACATGTATTAATATAAATTTGCCAGAGGAGCAAGGGAGTACAAGCACATACAAAGTTATATGAAGGCATGAAACCCAGTAACTCCCATCATCCAAACGGGCTTTGCTGTTTTATCTGGCTTGAGTAACGTGCCTAGATTATTGCTGCAGCCTCCTCACTGACTCCCCTGCAGGCTATTCAAAACATAGCAGCTAGAGCGACTCTCTTAAAATATAGCTCATATCATGTCATTCCTCTATACCGAACCCTCTAATGGAGGTTCCCCTCCCTGCACCTCATCCCTCCTACCTAAATCCCTTGAAGTGAACCTCAGCCATTGCTATCAGTTTGGTACATATCCTTTCAACTTTAAATATTCATCTATAACCTTTTTCTTTTCTTTTTTTTGAGACAGAGTCTCACTCTGTTGCCCGGGCTAGAGTGAGTGCCGTGGCATCAGCCTAGCTCACAGCAACCTCAAACTCCTGGGCTCAAGCGATCCTCCTGCCTCAGCCTCCTGAGTAGCTGGGACTACAGGCATGCACCACCATGCCCGGTGATGCATGGTGCATTTTTTTCCTATATATATTTTTGGTTGTCCAGATAATTTCTTTCTATTTTTTAGTAGAGACAGGGTCTCGCTCTTGCTCAGGCTGGTCTCGAACTCCTGAGCTCAAACAATCCACCACCCACCTCGGCCTCCTGGAGTGCTAGGATTACAGGCCTGAGCCACCATGCCCCGCCTATAACCTTTTTCTTTAAACAAAAATAGGATCATACTGTACATATTGTTCTGCAAATTACTTTTTTCCCTTGTATTTATAGTTTAATGTCCTGTGTTCTTAACATAAAGAGATATATTCCCTTAATACGTGTTGTTACAAAGTATTAATAGAATGAGGAAAGCTCTCTGTTTTATTGGTTTCAAATTACATAATATTGTTTTATCATGTTACTGTATTTTATATTGGTACAGCAAACAGTATCTTTATAACAATTAGGATTTTTATCTATAGCATGAAATAATTTACTTTAAAAAGTACTATTGACAAAATAGTATAATATTTGTTATGTAGTTAGATTTTTCACAAAGCAAATGCTTAATTATATATGGCATAGCATGTATTATTGAAGTATAAGTAATAATTATAACAATTTCTTCTTTACCACAGTTATTCCCAGTTGAGAAGTTTTGATTGTTTTTGCCTCTGCTCTTTAGTAGAGATATTAGGCTGTGTAAAGTAAAAAGCAGGATTGATGGCCAGTGAGGGCACCAGAGGACTTGACCCTGAAATGTGCCACTGCCAGTAAAGATCGCAAACTACGGCCTGAGATTGACTTTTGATGGGAAGCATAATTTTGAATGTATTCTAGTTAACTTATTTCTTTATTATAGTTGTTTTGAATTTTAATATGTTAAAGACCTCTTTATTTTTAATTACAGACTCGAGTTATAGCCGTACTGGATTGGGAGCTTTCAACTATTGGTCATCCTTTGTCAGACCTAGCTTATCTTGCCCTGTTCTACTTTTGGCCAAGGACAATTCCAGTGATAAATCAACGTTTCTGTATTCAAGAAAACACAGGTACAAAAACAATGTCTAAAGGCTATAAAGATAAAATTGTCTTTATTATCTTCATAATTAAAAATATGTAATCTTGAAATTTTAGATAATAGTTTTTATTTGTTTCTTGAAAATATTTCTAGTTCATTTTATGTTTTATTAATTTTTCTGAACTTAGCATTCTACTTTTAGTAACTTATGACAAAATGTAATCCTTTATATATAATGTTCTTTTGGGAATCAAGATTTAGAACATGTTTTGTTGCATGCATTAATGGCTATTACATTCTATTTTACATATATATGCTATATTGTAAAATTCGAAATATTCACTATAACTTATTAATATATCAGCACATATAGTAATATTATGTGCTGTTTTTATAGGGATACCATCGATGGAAGAACTGATTTCAATATATTGCCGCTGTAGGGGAATTAATTCTGTTCTTCCTAACTGGAATTTCTTTCTTGCCCTTTCACATTTCAAAATGGCTGGAATAGCACAGGTAACTATTTTAAATGTGTGTTTAACCATTATTTACTAATGTCCTGTTGACAATATTCTCTGGTCTTTAGGGTTTTTACGTTCTTTATTCTTAGATTATTTTGCTTTTCATAATGATAAATATTGGACATGAATAAAATATAAATCCAGAATTTACAGAATAGGAATTTGACAAGGAAAAATTTAACTAGCAAAATGTGTTATCACTTTTTGTATAATAAACTTACAAGATGAGGGAGGGAGAGAGAAAGATATAATGACAAAAAAAGAGAAGCGTGTGAGGATTGGTCATTTCCTGAATATCCAATATAAGAAAAAGCTAAAATGTTTTTATGATCTCTGCTTCAGACTATAAAACCATTTATCAACCAGGACTGATGACGAGGGAAGAATTATCTTTGTATTTCCCAGAGGCTAGCTTTGCACCTATTATAATGTAGTCTCCTAATATGTTTTTGAGTAGGGAGATAAGTAAATTTTTCATTTTCTAGTAGTCATATTTATGTGATTAATTTTGAGGAAATTGGGCATAATTTAGTGTTTTTCTAATTATATTTTAATCTAAATGAATGCCATTGTCTTTATACTAATCTAGTTTTCAGGCACTTTGAATCTTGGGGGTTTAAGAAATTAAGGTGCTTTATCAGTGGAAAGGGAATTTAGGGGAAGAACAGGTAAATAAGAGATTTTAGAAACAAAAAAAGAATGGAAAGAAGTATTGAGGGAAATTATGGTTATTTTTCTCTGTCCTTAGAGTTCATACTATCCATGAAAAACTGAAATATCTTCTAGAAAATATTTGTGTTACATCTCATCCTATATTCTCTAAGAGTTGGTCATGTTCAATAAAATGGTTTTCTCAAAATTGGAACGTCTGTGTATCTGTCAGTTTCCGCAAATTAGATACCAAATAGGCTTTAAACTTAATATGGCTTTTCATTTCAAATAAAAGTTTGACTTGGGTTATGATTGAAATTAAAATGTACATTATAAACTATATGTACATAGTATTGTACATGTAGTTGCCTTAAAGATGGTCATAAATATTCCATTCGAATTGGAAATATGAAATTGGAAATTTTACAGTGTTTTATTGCATAAAGAATTATATAAAGAAGATACAGTAATGGAATTCGGTTGTTTGTGTTTGGGGGAGAGGAGAGAGTTGGAAGTATAGAAATGGAAAATTATAAAAGAAACACTGATTATATCCAACTAACACTGTTAAAAAGAGATAGTTTTATCTATATTAAGGGCCAAAAATAGTAGATAAAATATTCTTAGAGGTCATCTCATTGTCTTCTCTTTGGTTTTATAGTTGTTGATGTTATTTGGTTTCTTTAGATTTTTCTCCCAGTATGAAGAGAGGGCAATGATCTTTAGAAAGGATGTAACTTACGGATTTGGTATCTTTGGCAACTGCTGAGATCATTTTTAAGTTTAGTTTGATTATAAGTTACAATTCTGCTAGGATGAGAGTGTGTTAACTATATGATATGAGTATGACTCCTTAGTTTTGAGGAGTATAATTACTCCTGCATGTAAATTAATACCATTGGTAGTCTGATTTACATCTTAGTACTCTGTGAGTTTGGTGTCCTACATAACTGAGAAACTGTGAAAAGATTGATTCAATAGTTGAAGGACAGTTTTCAATGAATTTTAATTGCTTTATGTTAATTTACTTATAGGGAGTATATAGCAGATATCTTCTGGGAAATAATTCATCCGAGAATAGCTTTCTATTTGCCAATATGGTGCAACCTCTGGCAGAAACTGGATTACAACTCTCAAAAAGGTGAGGAAAACATTACTTGGCTAACTCAGAGTCTTTATTAGGTATGTGAAGGTTGTAAACTTTGGAGGAGTAGGAATTATTTTTATTGCTTACACCAGGATTGCTGCTGCCAATCACAATAGTTTTTTGGTAAATCTCTTACATGCCTAAAAACAAATTGACCTAAAATATGAAGAAAATCCTCATGTTTGTGATTAAAAGTATTTTTTGTTACTTGAATGTGTAAATTTTTAAAGATATAGATAAAACTCTCAAATTTTTCCTTCTAATATTTGTTACATATACCTACTTAAAATTTTGTACTATATAAGATGATTTATTACTTTAGAAATATTACTCTCTTCCACTGTCACATTTCATGAAATTTTGTAAGCATCTTTGAAATCCATGTCTACATCATTGGAGCACTTTTTGAGACATCTAACACACTTCGCCAGAGTCACATTCCCATTACTTACTGAACGCATGTGTGATGCTGTCCCCAGAAATACTGCTTAAGCCCTGAGAACCCATGGCATAATGTTTTGTACAATGCATCTTACAGCTGGGTATCTGTGATCTCTACAACATTAACAACCAACTCTTGTGCTTCATAATGACCTCTAAAGGTCGTCTTTACCATGACATTCAGCAGTTGTATTTTGGAGGCATGTACTAAGAAAATGATTACATCTGTGTTCAATTTCTTTGCTTCCTCTTTTAGAAATTCTGACAGATGACATCAATAAGGATTCGAAAATAGCATTGCTTGAGGTGATGCCAGTCTCATATGTTTTTCCCAAATAGTGCTTTTAGCATTAAAATTTAATGTTCAAAATAAAGGGATTCTGTAATTCAGCCCATAATATGAAAGACTTGAAAAAACATCCAAAATATGGCAACTCCTCCTGAGGGATATTTTTGGGGAATAGGGGAGACTTCACATTATATTCAAAAATATGTAATAATGATTTGGGACATCTTTCTAAGCTTTTTTCCTCTTTTTTTTCTTTTATAAAGAACTTTCAATACTGCATTACCACAGACTGATACTACCAGACAGTTGTTTATACAGACAAGGAAAGGCCAGGAACTTCTTGCTAAGGTGAAGCAGTTCATGAAACAACACATCGTTCCAGCTGAAAAGGTAAGTATTGTATAAACAAACAGAATGTATTTGTGCTAAAGGACTATTGATGACTACTTCTGTTATTTCTGCTTATAGGAACTCCATGGTGTCATTTTCTTTACAGTCAATCCTTACCCCAATTCTCTTTACCTTAGCACTGAGCCACTATCAAACCTGAGCCTGAAAAACTCCAAGTTTTGAAAATGTGCCAAGGGGATGCACAGATAATTCTGTGAAATTAAAATAAGGCCGAAGGGAATTAACAGTTTGTTAAGGTGGGAACCTAAATATATTAGAGTAAAACACTACTTTGGGGGCCTTTCCCTAAAGGCAGTGACCCTCAGCTTTATATGTATTCCCCTTTGAGAATTTAATAAGAACTATAAACTACACAGGATGGATGTACCCAGAAAATTTTACATACTATTTCAAGCTGTTCACAAGCATTATCATCCCTCTCCCTTTCAAGCTACTATTTTAAGGTATTAAGTTTCAGTTAGTTTACTGAGGCAACATGGAACATTCATTCATTCAGTTAAGAAATAATTGGCCGGGCGCAGTGGCTCATGCCTGTAATCCTAGCACTCTGGGAGGCCAAG